TTCAATCTTCTTTGTGATTGTTGAATATCCAAGGTGCCTTGTCCTAGATGTTAAATTCTTTTATTGCTTTCAACTATAGGTACATCATTACAGCTGGTGCAATTCTTGCCCTCTGCTCAACTTTGATGGGCTCACTGCTGCCGCAGGTGCAAAATACATCAATCATTAGTTAGAATCTAAATACTTCTTTCCCTTGACGTTGTCTCAATGTTTTGTTACATGATCACCCTTCTGAGTGTCAATGATTTACCACTAATCTTTTCATAGGGACTGCAAATAGGAACAAGGCCAGTGTCACTAGAACTAAGAAAAACTGAAAAGATTAGGGAGAAGTGCGTGTGTTCTTGCACTCTCGCAGTTAGAAAACATCCGTACGTTGGTTATGTTAGGGTTTTTGACGGAGGGTTTCTGGAATGATGAAAAACAAGCTTCAGATTATTGAAAATGAGATGCAAATTTTTTCACAGGTCTCTTTTTCTAGTTTATTGTTAAGTTGTCTGTAACACGGGCTGATGAATACTGGTATAAAAGGCTAGTATGTATATATGTTATGTGGTAAAGTGTCAGTTAATACTTTGTCTACCCTCCATTATTTGGGCATTTGTATCAGGTTTCACTTTATGCTTGACTTTTAACTTATCGTATCTCTTCATCTCGAGCAGTATTTCTTCTTCAGTTATCTGTAATTCAACTAACTTAATAAATTCAGAACAGGAAATTTGTGAACTCTCGGATCATTTGTGAATTGGTTTTGGCATCATTTCACTGGACCTGCTGATATCTCTGACCTCCTTTTTGTGATAACTAGTTAGTAAATTGGTTAATAATTATACCAGAATCCACTGACTATCTTACTCGGTCTCCAGAGGATTTGTTCTTCTGGCTTTGCAGTAATATAATCATTAGATATTTTTTTTAATTTAAACAAACTAATCGCTGTGATATCTCCATTAATTTATCAATGATAACTCACATTTTTGGGCAGTATCACTCCAACCCATTTTCGTGATACATTTTTGTAGAGCTTTTACTAATGAGCCATACCAACCTATTTATAGATGATAGGTTGAGTAGAGTGCAAGAAATACATAGTTACTACATAGGAATGAAATTAGCTACACTAGTCTGGTACAAATTTAAGACCCAAATTGAAGCGATGCTTCTAATAACTTATACGAATTTAATTTAAAATCAATTTTTACTTATCAATATGCATCTATGATTGATGTGTCATTCAAAGCCCAAAACTGATGTAACATTGATTACTAGATCAGTTACAATTGTTATCCAGTTGAATTTCTTGTTGATAGTTCTTACAATTTGTTTAGTTATCCTAAATCACTTCAAAATATGCAGCACACTGTAGCTTCTTATTTGAAACATGCCTCTGAAATTACTATTGCTTACTTATAAAATTGCAATTTGAAATCTAAATAGCCTTGTTATTCTTCTCAGCCTAGAATACTAATGGCAATGTCTAGAGATGGGTTACTGCCACCATTTTTATCAGATGTAAACAAACACACTCAAGTTCCCGTCAAGAGTACAATTGTGACTGGAATTTGTGCAGCTGTCCTAGCTTTTTTCATGGATGTTTCACAGTTGGCAGGAATGGTAAGTTTTCCTATAATATTGAAATTTTTACCATAATTTGTGAAAAAATATTGTTTTTTGACAACCTCTTGATAGAAACATGTAAAAGAGTGAAGTTCTGTGGCCATTGATTATGTGAAGATGGATTGAATGCTGAGTAAAAATTGATATTGAGCTGATTTATTGTATTTGTAGGTTAGTGTTGGCACACTCCTAGCTTTCACTATCGTTGCAATTTCCATCTTAATTCTTCGATATGTTCCTCCAAATGAGGTGCCTTTGCCGTCATCACTCCAAGAGTCAATTGATTCAGTATCATTTCGTTATAGTGCTCAAGGAAAAGTTGGGGGAAGTTCAAAAAATCTTGATGGAGAGATAACTGAAGCTAACAATCAACATTCTCTAAGTGGTACTGCTTGGAAAGATGATCCGGAGGAGTCATTTGAATATCCTCTTCTTGTGAAGGAAAATGAATCAGGTACACTTTTATTATTGACTGCCATTTGAATATCCTCTTGTTGTGAAGGAAAATGAATCAGTTACATTATTATCACAACTGCTTGAAGTTTGTTAATTTAATGTGCTATCTTTTGCTAGTAGACTGATATTCTGACTCTTGCAGATAATCTGAGTGAACAAAAACGCCGAAAGCAGGCAGCATGGAGCATAGCATTTGTGTGCATTGGAGTTCTTATTCTCACTTCTTCAGCATCATTTACGTTTTCTCCTGTGTAAGTTATCTCTAAAGCTGTTTATCAATGATGAGGTATTTCAGTTGATTCTTATTGGGTGATACTTGAGCCTTTTCACATAATATGTGATCTGGTTCTCACTTGATGATATTTATTCTCCAAACAATTTTAGGTATATTTCACGAGCCACTTTAGTAGTAGTATGCTTTTGCAAGCCATCAATGATTTATAATTAATGCAAAAGAATAGACATCTAGTGACAAACCTAAAGTAAAATTTAAAAGGGACTGCGCGCGCGCGTGTTGCTTAGCTATATTCAATCAATATAAGAAAGCTTTTCTTTGTCATGGAGAAAACATTCTATACCCCTGGAGTGTATGAGGTGGTTTTAGAGAATAAATGAAAAAGATAGAGCAATGTCAGGCCCCATATTGTTTATTTTCTCATCCATGATAGTGCTTCATAATTACTAACAGTGCTATTTATTTCAGTTTGTTAAGATATTCAGCATGTGGTTTTGGTACCTTCATCCTTTTGGGAGGGCTTATTGTACTTTCCCGCATC